CAATCCACTCACCTCAGCCTCCCAAAGGCGTGGGATTACAGGCTGAGCCACCGAGCCCGGCTAGGAAAAGCTCTTTGAAAGGCTGCAGAAATGAGTCTCGGGGGTAGAATGGTGAAGACTGAGGAAGGCAGACTCCCTTCCAAAAGGTATTTTCCCTTTAGTTAAAAAAGAGATAGGTAGAGGGAAAAAAAATAGATACTAGCCCTAAATGGGAGGGACCTTAGAGAAGATGAAGCTATTCCTTACTTTCTTTATGGGACTCCAGTTTACAGGTAAGAAAATTGAGGCCTATGGAAGTGAATTGGTTGTGATCATATAGCTAGGTAGCAGCAGAGCCAGGACTAGAGCTAAGCAGGGGTCAGTCCTCCTTCACAACTCAGAAATCCATGTTAGTACAGTACCTTCCACATCTGTCTACAAGACAGATGTAGAGGATATCACTTACCTAGTATTCCCTAGGAGTATGATCCTGCCTAATCAGATAATTGGTGACTGATGATGATGGTGAAGATTTTTTTCTTACTTGTTATTCACTATAGGAAGCCCAGGGTCTCCTTGTAGTAGTATGGAATATTGAAAAGATTCTGGTATTATACAACCCTGATTTTTTTTTTTTTTTTTTTTTTTTTTGAGTTGGAGTCTCACTCTGTCTCCCAGACTGGCTGCTCCCGGCCACTGCACCCTCGACCTGCTGGGCTCCAGCAATCTTTCCGCCTCAGCCTTCCAAGTAGCTGGAACTACAGGCGCATGCTACCACGCCCGGCTAATTTTTTTTTTCTGATTTATTGTAGAGATGAGGTCTCGCCAAGTTGCCCAGGCGGGTCTCGAACCCGCAGGCTCAGGCAATCCATTCATCTCAGCCTCCCAAAGCGCGGGAGTACCAAACCTGACTATTTTTTTTAATCTTTTAACTTTCATAGAGACAGGTTCTCACTGTGTTGCCCAGGCTGGTGTCAAACTCCTAGATGTAATTGATCCTTCCTCTTCAGCCTCCCAAAGTGCTGACATGACAGGCATGAGCCACCACACCTGGCCATATGTACCTGACTCTTTTTTTTCTTTTTTTTTTTTTTTTTGAGTTGGTGTCTCACTCTGTCGCCCAGATTAGAGTGCAGTGGCTGCACCCGGCCACCGCAGCCTCAACCTGCTGGGCTCCGGTGATCCTTCCGCCTTAGCCTTCCAAGTAGCTGGGACTACAGGCACATGCTACCATGCCCACCTAATTTTTTTTTTTTATTTACTTTAGAGATGAGGTCTCCCCAAGCTGCCCAGGAGGGTCTCAAACCCGCGGACTCCCAAAGCGCGGGATTACAGGCTGAGCCACCAAGCCCGGCCGTACCTTACTCTTAATCCAGTCTCCTATTCTTGTTGACTTTGTGATCTTGGTTAGTTTTATGTGATTCTCAGTTTCCATATTTGTAAAAGAAGAATATCTGTCTCATATGGTTCTTGTTTTTTTTTTTATTTTTTTGAGTTGGAGTCTCACTCTGTCGCCCAGACTGGAGTGCAGTGGCTG